GGGGGGGGTGCGGTGGAAATGCCCTAACCCCTTCTTGTTTTCGAATGCTAACTTAGAGCAGTTCCACCACAGGAGCCTAGCCGAGATAAAAGCCCCTCTAGGCCTTCAAAAGTGGTTTATGGGTTCAATTCTTGCCTTGACAAGAGATGGGGTCCACCAACCTGGGCAAGGCCCAAGGCAAAATGAGCCTAAGCTCCTACTCGTGGGCGATGACGTCAACGGACAAAAGTTATTGTTTTTACCGTTGGTGCATGACGTATAAGCAACTTAAGGCTCCGTTTGGCTCACGGAACGGATTTGAGGGGAAATCACTTCCCATGTCATTTCCCATGTTTGGTAATCCTGGGAAAGTAATCAAGAAATACCACTTTATTTACTTTCACATGTTTGGTTTGTGTACACGTTTGTTTAATTTTCCAATTATACCCATATGAAATCAAATATAAAAAAATGGGGACAATATGGTCATAAAAAATGTGTATTTAATGTTGGTTCATTTTCCCAAACTTTCCTATGAGGAGGAAAACAAAACCCAAGGAGGGAGGAGGGCTTCACTTTCCCCCCTACTTTCCTATGTGCAAGGCAACAATTTCTCATACCAGGACTTACCAAACATGGAAAAGCAATTGATTTCCCATCCCCAGATCTCCATTTTCATGAACCAAACGGAGCCTAAGTGTCGAACATGGGAGAAAAGCTTCCCATGGGGTTCATTATTTTCATTGTCATCTGAATCATTCAGTATTAACAAGTGTTTGTGACTCAACAAGATCAACTATACATTTTATTTTTTATTGCACGTACTGAAAAATTAATACCCAATGCAAATGCAATCACAACGACACTACGGCGATCTTTTTTTAACAATGAAAAAACTACCAAGTCTTATTTTAGTAATTATCTACTTCTTTGTCGTCCAAGTTTTGTAGTATAAGTTTTGTGAATATGGAGCAGGTTTATGGGGAAGAGTTTGAAGTATATCTAAATGGAAATTTCCTCAAAAGTCCTGGCTTACAAAATTAATACTAAACTAAGACCTTTTTGGTCGAAATACTAAACTAAGACCTGGTTTACAAAATTTATCAATTTAACGAGACTCAAACTTGAATGAAAACAAATAGAATTCACACTTTAATCTAGAGGTCTCTATGACTGGATCGCACTTTAATTTCGTAATATAATATCCTGCACATGCATTACATGTCAATTGCAGCCAATGGCTGCAATATTCAAGGTTGAAGTTCACACATCACACAGATCTAATACTGGATTTAACTTTGAAGTTCGCTTAGAGCATCTTCAACCGATGTCAAAAGTGTCATATAGACATTTAACAGCTAGAAATAACATCTCACACACTCCAACCGATGTGTCAAAGCTGATGTGGAATGAAGGCTGAAGATTGAGATGTTATTTTTGACATCCCAAAAGCAAGATGTCAAATGAATATTTTATTATATCGGGTGGAGTGTAAAGCTGTATAAGATGTCAAATTGCCACATCAGCCATCAAATTTAAATTTGATGTTTGGTATTTGACATCTCCCTCGGAGATGCTCTTATAATATCTATTATGATTCCAATATGTTATTCAATCCCTTCCTCTAAATGGGGAGCATTTTGGAT